TAAAGTAGAGTATAATTTATGTTAGGACATGGAATATTAATTCTAACAAGAGCAATTGAAATTGGCGGGCAAAAGCTTTTATGAGAAATATAATGAATCTACATTTTTTGTTTTTAACCTTTATGGTCATTAACGTTAGAACATTTACCTAAATTAAAAATATCGGAAACTCGAGAAATATAAAGTACAGTCAATTTCACGTCAGACCGTACAAAACTGTCCAATTTCTCCTTTGAGGAAATTTAAGATATTTTAGTAATCTGACATGCAGCCGTGTGTTCATGGTAGCAATGTCTTGTTTGAAAAAATAATATCTGATTGATAAATAATGAAAATCCATAAAATTGTAGTGCAAAGTACTTATCAATTCAAAGCTATTGGCGTTCCATAAATAGCTATCGATTTATCTAAGTAATTATGGTTCGTATGATACGAGTATATGGAGGTCAGGTCAATACTAACAGGTGTAATTACATATATACTAATATTGTAAATAGGAAATATTTTATTGTTTGTTTGTTTGCATCGAATAGGTTCCAAAACTACTATTCTATCACCTGCGTGTAGCTACATCATACGCCGTTGACATAGGCTGTAATTTACGAGTGCGAAGTCGTGGGATAACAGCTAATAAGTACTATATATAATTGCTATTTTTTTTAAATTGTTATATGTAAAAATGCTGCTCAAGTCACAACATAAAAATCAAAGCTAAGGCCAAAGTATTGTTTACTCGTCCATTTTGGGCGCTTTTACAATTTTAACGTAACGATATATCCTCGACGTTCATCATGGACATCCACGGTACGCCACTAACACAATAAAGTAAATGTATGAAAAAAAGATAGAAAAGTAAGATAAAATCAAAAAGGGAGCAAAAAGCCGCTCTTTCTGAATTTCTTGCCGGTTCTTCTCAGTATAAGGTCTCCCGCTGTAGATTTAAACCGATGGCATAGTAATTTTACTGTTACAATTGTAATAACAGCCTAGACTGAATAAATGAATTTGAGTTTGAATCAATGAACCTTAAATTAATCTCCTAAATTAACAAATAGGTAATAGCTAGAAATTTTGTTTTAAGAATCTGCGTAAAGATTAGTATTTAAAATGATATTGTTCGATTTCTAAGTAGTTTTATTTAAACTATCTTAGAAGTTTGACGTGACTATATAATTGCAGCAGAACCCGATAGCCTGTGAATCAGACCGTCTTAAGCATGGTGGCACCACAGTTACGCCGTCAAGCGTGCACCGCCACTGACTGCCTACTTGTTCACTTGACCGCTCGCCGATGATTATAACGCTGGATTAATTTGATACAACACTTACTAAATGCTCTTATGAATTTAAATATAAGCTAAATGATGAGTAGCTCGATCTAGCACGACCACTATGATATTGCGGTAGTTAAAAGCAAAGGTATCCTAGCTGGATCTCAAGGCCTTCCTCTAAAATGAACCATGCTAGCCATATTTTGACCAGACTGATCCGTGACGCTAAAAAGCCTCAGACAAGAACCGCCGCATAGAATAATGCATTTTCCTTACTGGCTGGCAAAAACCGCCCAAGTGAGAGTCGGACTCGCGCACGAATGGTACCAGAAACAAGCAAATAAATTACGTTTGTTCTATGGGAATACCCTTAAATATTTATTTTATTCTGGCTTTAAGTGTTTGTTGTTGAAATGGCAACGGAAATACATAATCTGTGAAAATTTCAACTGTCTAACTTTCACGGTTCATGAAATACAGCCTGGTGACAGACGGGCACCGAAGTCTTAGTAACGGAATTCCCGTTTGACCCTTTGGGTACGGAAACATAAATGAAGCCTCTCATCGGATGAATGATCAAAAATTATTATCTCGAACTCCTTTGTGCTTCGGAAGACATGTTAAACCGTTGGTCCAAGCTGCATACCGCCAATGCGCAGTATCACCGCGTGGTGGGTATGTGACCCGGCTCCATAGGGACTCCATAGCCATTAGATCCATAGGGAAGGCTTCTGCCATAGCAGTGGGGATATTAATAGGCTGATGTCAAATAAACTAGTACAGAAAACTAGATTTGTTAGCAACATTACAAGTGACGAAAAAAGTTGCTAGACAAATTATTATTTTACATTAACCTTTAACGTAAGAACACACCATTAAAAAAATGTAAACGTTCTGGAATATTAAGAATGTTACTTTGCATATGACATGCTTAATTATATTTCTGAAGTAAAATATAAATAGAAAATGTGTTTGACCTATAGGCTCGCCCTCAATCATATGGATTACATTCGATACCGCGACTCACTCCAATTAATAAGTGAACGTTTCTCAATTTTCGCAGGTCAACCTTCGCATTCTAATAACATTAATTTAATGTTATTCATTTGATATTATACAATATTTTCTCTAAATTGGTAGACTATGTTACGATTATAATGTAACAGCTCAATTCTGCTAATGTTTACGTAATAATCGCATCTCAATGTAATCTGAACCATTGTACTATCTACCTAAAGTCTAATATTATTACTACAAACTCTTCCTCGCATATTAATAGTGACAGATATTATATTTATTATTTTACTAAACGGTAAATATTCTTAATGAAATATGCTTAAAAAATCTACTTTGTGGTGGTTTGAGAATTATGAATGGAAAATATGATAATTAGAACAAATTTTCATCTTTATTGAAAGTTTTACGAATTTGGAAAAATATTTCTTTCGTTTGTTTGGGTGAATTGCCTGAACATTGATGAAAATACGCTAGTAGCGAAAAAGTATCAAGTGCTTGAAAAATCCGTCAGTCCTTTTAAGTCCTGGATAGCTCAGTGGTAAGAGCAGTCGCCAGGATTGCGAAAGATCATGGGTCCAATTTCAGAGTACTAGGGACAAAGTAGATTATTTTAAGCATCTTTCATTAAGAATATTTTCCAGTATAGCATTGTGAAAGCAAAATTGATCAAATATGATAATAACTAAACGGAATTACATAATTATGTGAACATTAATTAAATCACTTATTCTAATTTCATAAAAGATTTAAGTTTTATTTAAGTGAGCGTTGTAATTCATATTACATACTTACAGGAACCTAATTTAATAAATATCATAGAAAATTATGGAAAAGATTACAACACTTTATATCATAAATAACCAGACGTATAATTAATCGTAAATTCACAACAGAATGATTCCCGAGCACAAACAAAACATTGTAGAGCAAATCTTTCACCAAAGGTCATTTATCAATTTATATAGACATTTCAACAAAGCGACGACCGACAAAGGAAAGTTGTCTTCGTAAGCCCGTGGCTCAACGAAATTAGACCGTCGTCAATGCGTTTCCGTGACAAAAAAAAAGTACAAAATCCTTTTAGTAACGCAAATGTTTTGCGCTATCGAAAATATTTACGCTGACGACCGTAACCAATCTCAGAATTGCGAATCGACTTCTGGAAGATACATACGTTGATGCTACGTAATAACAATGACCTTTTTGCCCTGACACGCGATCAGCCACTCTGCTTATGAACCTTTAAATAGACATTCTCTCTGTATTTATTTTCTTTTGATGGAAATTAACCATTGTAATTGCTTTGATTTAGTAATTATTTGGATTTTGAATCAAATTGAAAGATCCAGAAACACAGTGAAGAATAAAGTTTTTCTTATTCTCTACAACAGTTTAAATAGGAAAAAGTTGATTGTATGTTGGTTTGTTTGTTTATTTGCATCGAATAGTCTACGAAACTACCGTACAATCATACGCGGGTGACATAAGTTATAATTTACGCGGCCAAAGTCGCGAACAGTTAGTTCTCTAATAAAACAGCCTAGAACTCTACAACCACAACGTTGTCACCCAATAGACGTTCAATGCTTATTACCTTACAAAACGCTTTAATACCTTTCCAAGTTGGTTTTAATTGGTCGAACCTATATATCGATAATGCTGTGACAATGCTGTGCTCGACACTGATTATTTACAGAATAATACTGCAAAGAAAAGATGACTCGTTCGTAAAGATACAGGAAGTTAAAATATTGCGAATAAAACGTTTTATAGAGCTCTAATTGATGTGGGGATTCCCATACATTTATTCTCTATTCTAAATATGAAAAGAAAACAAACCGGTGATGACATAATACCTATGTCAGTTGTTGTCTGTGAAATGCGTACATTGTCATTTTCAAAAGTGATTGTTTGCGTGGTCATTCTATAGAACCACAGACCTGATAAAGTTAGAACTGCCCAAATACATTCAAAATATTTCGTTTTAAATATATTATCACCATAATCTTGTTCTAATTTCAAGAATATTATTTCAATATATTTTTTTACTTTCAATGAAGACTGTTTGAAAGTCTGATTTAATTTTATCAATGCTGTACTATTTGAAGAGAATTGAAAATGTACTTATAAATAACGTAAACCTAAAATTTAAAAAATGTAAATTACTAAACAATGTACTAGATAGCTTTATACCTTTTTAAATGATTTTTGGACAATATATAAGTATATATACTTTAAAGTATACCTAATACATACTTTAGTAAGTTACTATTAGCATTTGTATCTATTATGGAAATCAGAAACAAAGGCGATACCAAAACCCTCAGACCCGAGGGAGACAATATATAGAAAAGTTGGTTTTTGGCCTTCAAATATAGTTTCATATGATAAAACACTTTGCAGGCGATGTGATATGGAAATAAATATTTAATAACCAACACCACATACATAGCTCAGATTCCAAGATGAGTAGCTGAAGCTCTCCTATTATAGAGTTCATGAGACAACGAAAATACCACAACAGCCAGACCTTAGGCAATATAGAAATTCCATTTCCTACATGGACCCGACCGGGAATTGTACCCGGTACCTCAGAGATGGCGACACCTTGAAACCTACGTGCTAACCACTAAACTACAAAGGTCGTCTGATTTGGCGACCTTGCCGATGCGATGTGTTTTTAAACCAAAAGTTTATTTTTTTTTTGTTCCAGATCTAAGGGCAACTCTGTCTGATTCTACCGGCGAACTGCTATTTTTAGTAAGTATATACCTTCTTTATTCACGTAGCATACCAATGAGCAATTGTAATAATTTAATGATAATCACGTATATGACTGTCTTCGCATCCGTCCGGTGGTTAAACGTTAGTCGTAAAACATTATAAATATCAACACATAATTGTAATTTATAAAGATATAAAAATAGTTTCTAGTGATATTCACGATGTGAAACAATTTAGTTGCAAATTTGAAGGTTTATAAAATAGATATTGAATTTTTCCAAACCATACTTGATAGTCTAGTATATATGTATATATCCCAACCAGCCAAAAGCGGTTTTTAAACTACCCTAGAACCATGATTTCTTGAGGATTATATTAGTCTTATATCTGCATAACCATAACCCCGGAAAAAGGCCTACTTAATAAGTACCCCCTTGCTAACAGCGCGATTATATCAGGCCGCAGCCATCCCACTTTTGATCAAATGGCTCCTATATAGGGATTACACAAGTGTACTTTTACCTGAAAATGTCAACATAAATCCACTATAGTAAAAAGTGAGACTAACTCGGGCCTAGCTATGCCTTTACTAAGTATGTCAAATTGTTATGTAAAAAATTAAAAAGATTGAGCAAAGGTGGTATTTATTAATATGATAACTAGAAATATTGTCAACCATAGTAGAAAAACATATTCTATTGGTCTTAGTATTTGTGTTGTCTGTTTGTTGGGAAATTTGAATTTTCTGTAAACCTTATCTTTGATTCGATTAAAATTTTAAAGCGCCTCTTAAAAATGGCTTATTTACACTTTTTGTATTCATTTATTTATCAACAAATGTTAGGAAAAGTCGCCATTTTTTGGGTGACCTTTTCCAAGTATGATATAGGATTGATAAAAGTTAATTTAGTTCTACAATGGTAAGTGCCAACACCAAAGCAAATTCGCCATGTTGTTACCAATTGGGTTCCACAATTAGGGTTCTACAATTATTACTGTCTCATCAGGGGCTCACACTGGAAATCGTAGATTCTGTTATGATAAATATTTAGTAACAATCGTGATTTTAATGGCTGATCGCAAATCCTATAGTAAGATTTGGGAAACCATCCAAATCGTGTTTTCGACTATATCAGTTGTTTCGAGAAAAAGGCCTTTAAAGAGTTCTAGCCAGGTTTGTTTGAAGATTTCTTAGACAATAGCACTACTATGAAATACCCATATAAATCTACCTAGGCTTATATCGGCATATGACAAACCCCTATAAAATGCATTTTTGCAAATGGGATTAAAGCGTTGTCTTATATGCGCATATAAGTCTGAGTTATCGGAGTAGTTCCTCTTGAGAGTAATTACTCTTAATACATGCTCTTATAGGCGGCTTAGCCCAGTAGTAGTCATGAATTGTGATCCTATATACCGATATAAGTCCATATTGTAGGAGTAAGCGTACTTGAGTAAAAACAGGATTCACGTATGCTGATATAAGTGCAGTGCCATATTCTGAAACCATTATAGTAGCCATATAAGTCCAAACAGGATTATTAAATCACATGCCAGGATTATTTTGTTTGTTGGGATGTGACCGAATTATATAAGGTTAAGTGTTGTCATACAGGACTTTTACTTCTCTTTTATATATTATGATAATATTTATACTCCCTACCTAGTATTTTTTTTTTGCAAAACGAAACATTTAAAAGAGTAAGCAAACTATCATTGGTTGAAGTCTAGCCTGGTACCCGTGACAATTACTTCTTTCAGTTATTTTTCCAAAATAAATTCTTATGGTCCAAACCAAGGATTCCCAAAGTGGTCTTTAAGTTTATTTATAAATATTTTGTATCAATATCAAGAAATGTTTTTAATCTGTGGATGTTTAAGTTTTCGGTCCATTTTGGAAAATCCCATTACTCATGATTTTTTATTTTTATTTAATTGACTACACTTAATAGTTTGGCAATCCCTGTAAATAATGAGAACATATTTCTAAAATATAACCCTACCATTCGCAAAAATTATATGGGTCATGTTAAATATCCGTTCCTATTCTGACATTGAATATTAAAATTGAAATATCATGATTCGACTCAACACATCACGTTTCGTGTGATGACATCATATTTTAAATGTATAGTTCCTGCTGTAATAGTCGATCAAAAGTCCTAAATCGAAACAAGACCTACCATTGCTATTGCGAATTTATTTTACCTTCACAGTGATAGAGGAAAGTAAGTAAATATGGTATAGTATTGCTAGTATCATCGTCATTATATCAGCCAGATAACGCCTAATAGTGTACAATGGCTTTACCCAAAATCATACTTAAAAATCCGTGACTTCCTTATGGATCGTTTGCCAAATTTCATTGTTAATTATTTTTCTATAGACAATACCTTGCTGTGGATGTTTAATATTCTATTCCAATGATAACATTCCTAAAAATTCTTGAAAAAAGAACCGTCCTGTTAGCTGAAACGGCTTTTTGCATTTATTTTTAAATATAGACGTAACTTTGAAGACAGGTTTTGAAATGTCTTTAACCACTAGACTATTTTGTTTATTGATAAAAAGTGCATAAGAAATCACCAGCCCAGGCACCACGACATGAGATGCAAAATTGATCAAAAATGTGTATGATAACCAAAAATTTGAACTATTAACTTCTTGATAATAACTATGTCTGTGGTGAAAAGGTACATCACATGATATTACGCAATAATCACAGACCGTAAACGATTACTGAGCTGTTGCCAAATGAGTGGGTGTTCTATTATCAATAATTATCCACTTTTGTTCCAATTCTAAAGATGTTAAACGGTACTATTACCGACCGTACTGGAGAGCCGCATTTAAACGCTCATTGTCTGTGTTATTAAAACTGTCACATAACTGTTCAATATTGTATACCTAAATGCCGTTTACACTGTAGACAATTAGTAAAACTAATATCTGTGCTGAGCTAACTGTAACTGTAAGGTTTGTTGTACATATTACTGAAATAACTATGAGAACATCATGCATTCATTAGTTTTAACATAGTGACTATAAAATGTAGCCATTCTATGGACCCGGGTTTAATATCATATTGGATAAATATCTTTATAGATAAACTTTTCTTTATTGCCTCCAATCTGTATATTGTTGCTAGTTTAGTAATATCAGGTTCACGCAACACAAGGATATGTATATGTAATACTATTTAACATTTGTTGATATTGTTTTAATTTATTAACCTGAGAGTAAAATCTAGGATGTAAATGTTAGTGGGGTTGTATGGGGTAGATCCCAGATCTGCCCCACGCTAGGATACTCCACAGCGAATTGTATAAAATAGTTAAGGCAACCACACTGACCGTGCCCCTCGGGGCAGGTTTTAAATACTTTTTATTTATTTTATTCACTATCTGTGAAAATTTCAACAATTTCTTTCTACCTTTCACGATTCATAAAAACAGCCTAGTGACAGACAGATGGACAGCTTTATATTAGTAATACAGTCACGTTCTTACCCTTTGGTTACGGAACGCTAAAAAGAACCTGAAAGATAACATGACCGGCATAAACTCCTCGGCTATAGATACCGTCAAATAATAGAAAATCTCGTGTACTTTTTTTTATGTTTAAGATATTGTTTTTTAAATCAATTTCTTGTCACGGCTAATTGTTGGGTTAAATAATAATATCACTGGTTGTACAGACTGCGTTTTACGTTCACTTTATTGTAAAAGCCTCGATTCATATTCGTGACTCATTCTGTTGGTACGGAGGTCGTGTTAATATAACAATCACAGTTGAAACTTGTTTGTTAAAAAAAGCTGTTTCTTTTTTTTTGTTAAGATGAGAGTTTTATTTTCGGTTTTTCTTAGAGACTACAGGTTAAGGATATATTTGTGTAATAAATGAACGCTATGAAGAGGTTGAAATTAATTATATATAATTACCATAACAGAAATGCAAACATTTTTGACTGTGTTGGAATGGGGCAACCATTTGAGTAAAATTATCTAATTTTCATTGGCTGGTTATTGATATTCTGTGGGTTCATTTCAAACAATGGAATGTACCCACAGATATCACAATGTAATTAGACATTAAACACCTCTACACTCCCTTACCATTAACACATATATGCAATATAAAAAAAGTTCGTTTCCTTGTGACGTGTATTTCTAATCACTTTATTTCATTTACTGGTGTGCCAAAGATTTAAAATAATTATAAATAAGTACAAATTTCAATAATTACCTTTTTGTTTTGTTCGTATTTATGCACAATATCAAATTGCTTTTAATAAAAATAACAATATAATCATGTAACATTTCTCTAATATCGCTAAGGTATATTGGAATTTGTTAACAATCAAGGCGCATAAAAAGTATTGCATATTCAAGCGTATTTGGCGTATTACATCATGGCACTAATTTGCTACAGAATAAAAACTACTAAAAAGTTGTTTCTAAAGAGAAAAAAGACGAAAAAATAATCTATTATCTAATGTCCATAAAGTTCGCTGTAAACCAAATCCATCATCGATGAATAAAAAAGAACTGTAGAAAGTTATGACAGATTACAATTTTATCATTATACCAGATTCTGTTCGATATTCGTATTTTCAAAGTAAATAACACTTTCATTAGCATATGTTCTCAGATAAAAAATGGAATTGATTAAACTAAAGCTGTTAATAACACAACTATTAGAGGTTATAGACACGTTGAAATCATTTAGTTTATTGATATGATAGTCAATGATGTCTAAAAAAGTATTTCGAGTTATGAAATAAATGAATATCAGATTTACTTTTTCGAATTTTAAAAATTAGCACGAGCTTTTCTGAACATTATATAAGGTCAGATATCCTGTGAAAATTTAGCGTAATAGACTGCACGGTCTTGATTCTCCTAATGATAACGTAATAATGCCACCAATGCAATCAATGGTGTCTGTATTGTTTATCTGACGCTAAATATGATAAGTAAAATAGTTCTGGAGGAATCAAGGGAAGAGAGAAGCTATTGAAGTATTAAACCCGT